CCAATGGACTTCTGGATACCGAATAGTCGTACCAAAAAAAAAAAAACTTATATATTTGTTAAATTTTATATTGAAAATGCATAAATTAATATACAACTACAAATTCATATATATAATATAAGTTTATATATAAAACAAAATACATTAGTATATATATTCACAAATATACAAGTATATATACAACGATAAAAGAAATATAAACAAAAATCCACGTGATTTTCTTTTAAAAAATCTATAATGTCAGAAGAAAAGAAAAGAAAAGAAAAGAACATAAATATTTTGATTTCATAACATTATATTACAAATTTAGCATATAAAACTAGAATATAAATCCAATATATGAGTTAGATATACAGGTTTGGTATATGGGTCAGGTGTATAGGTTAGGTATGCAGGTATTGACTTTCATACCCAATACTTACCTGATACTTAATAAGTATGCATTTTTCATACCCAATACTTGTCTTTTTTTACAAGTATAGGTTAAATACTTACCCAAACAAATCAGTTACCCATAAATATTAAATATACCCGTACTCGATGCTCAACCCTAAGTTTTCCTAGATTTGGATGGTCTGATCGTCCAAACGGGCCTGGGTATCAACCCAGCCCGTTTAACAACGGGATGATGGTTGGACTGATTAAATCAATTGGTCTGATCCAGTTTTGAAAACACCAGTGATAAGCGACTCACTCTTATAATTACATGTATACAAGTTTAATCCATCACTGGGCACTTGTAGCTAAAGATATTAGTTTTAATGCTTAGGTTTTTTTTTTGGTAAAAGTTTTAATGCTTAGGTTACATCCACTAAAAAATAAGTGCTCTTTTTTATGTCAAGTTTAGGATTTAAGTTTTATCATATAAAAAATAAGTGCTACAACTCTTGGTGCTTGTCTAAAATCATCTTGTTGTTTAGTTGATGAATGATATAGATTTAAGAAAACCGTGTTGCTCTAAAAAACTCATAAATGCTTAGTGCTTGCTTTTGCATCATATAACATGAACTGGTCAAGATTAAGGAGTTTGTGTATTATCAGTGAGGTTGCATTACACTCTTCTTAGATAGGTGACATATTTTGGAAGTGGTGCACAGTGCATGTGCTATATGACACATATGAGTTAGATCACCTCTGATTGTATCTATGTTCATCTCACACTTTAGTTCACTTGTATTTGGGAGATTAAAATGCATAATTGTGAGTTATTTATTTTGATTTTCTGCATCTTTCTTTAGGAGGATGACAGGTGTAAACTTCTTAATCTGTACATTGTCAATAGATAATTACCTTGGTGGCACAAGAGCTCACTTTCCTGTCTACTCACACAAAGATAGTTCCTGTGGCGTTACATGGTTGAAGATCTTTGGACTACTATACTGGAATTTATTATCTCTTAAGATATCAATGGTTAAATGATCTAGGTTTCAATTTAACTTTACAGAGAAGTTGGCAAAATACCAGCAGCACTTTAGGGGAAATATAACTCACGAACTCGGTATGTGCTCTTTTTAAGCTCTTGCTCATTCTATGCTATTTTATCACCTATAAAATGTTCTTTTGGGTGGGTAATTGGCTTGATAAACTTTCCTTATTACACAGAAGTGTATATTTACATAATAAACTCTTGTGAAGTTTTACTAAATAAATATTCGTTTATCTCTGTGTGAGTGTACCTAAGACTAAGGGCAGAAATGAGGTATCTTACTTGTAGACAACCAGCCCCATCTTATGTTTTCAGTTTCAAATCAAAACATGTATATTATTCTTTTCCTTTCATTTATGTACCTGTTGAACTAAGTTCTAATCCTATTAATGCTTAAGTTTGTAGTCCATCTGTGTTCTATGCATGATTTCTTACTCTTATATGGATGACAACTAAGGTTCAAATATTGGTACTCGCATTAGTATCCCAAACAAATTTGCTTCCTCAAGGAGTGTTTGATTTAATATGGCTTGTATCCTTTCCTCAGGAAAAATCTTGTATTGCAAGTATTTGTCAATAATGCATTACTCTAGTGATTTAAGGACTGGTCGAAGTTTTGGAAAGTTTCATGTTCTAATGCCCAGAGCTGTTTTTACTGCTGGCATAGTAGTCAAATTAACAAATAAAAGAGAATGTCCTTGGGAATGCATCGATGGCTTTGAGAAGAGTAGAAGGGGACAAGGGCTTTGATCCTTGAGTAGTAATTTCAGTTCCAGATGACTGGTAAAATGTTTTGTGCCGTTGCCTCCTGCTCTATGGCAACCTGGGATGCTCATTCTTTTACCTTGCTGCTTACTATAATTACTTTTGTCTAGTTACTTCTATTACAGGTATTTTGGTGTGGTTCGAAACCGGTCCAAACCTGTGGATTTAGATCAACTTGCACCCCTAAGTTTTGACTGACAAGATAGGGGTGCCACTGGAAGCCAATTAGACATGTGTAATCCTGGGTTTGCATGCAGTAATCTTGGTTACATATCTAATCAGCATTAATCTGAGCTTTATCTTTTAATTGAAGAAGGTAATATACATAGGGAATATGTTTTATAGTTTAAAATGTATTGAATTGCTTAATATGTTTTCTATACATATATTCATAAAACTATTGTAATTATAATATCACATAACATTGAAATATATTGTTATATAATTAATTCTTTTCATTTAGAGATTTATTCGTAATATTGTATATATTTATTTATTTAATATCATATTGTATTTATTGAAAGTCAATTATAAATTTACAATTATACTTAATATTGTAATTATAGTTGTTGTTTATATATCAAATCTCCTTGCAAGGTTTGGTTTTATGTGGAAGAAATTGTCGTTTGAAAACAAGAGATGATTCAGGAATGCAGCTTTAATATCTCAACATTAGTTGTCAATAGTTGTACCAAGGGATTGACCTCTCACCTATCATAACCACGAATCACAGTAACAAACTACTAATAAAAAACTTGTTTAGGCAACTTCACGAGCTCTTGCTGTTGAGGTCGTTAATTGATCCGATTACTTGAAAAACTTGAGGATATTTTTTTTTTGAGAAAAAACACTCCAATACTCAAGTTAATAATATTTTATAATCTAAAAAGAAAAGCTTTCAAAAGAAATAATTGAAAAGAAGAAAGTGTAAGAGAATTATTACGTTACATAGAGATAATTGAGAGTACTTATAGAGCTTATTCCTAAAAATGATGTCACGCATTGCCAACCTATTGGTGCACTCGTCCTTGCGCACGTGGATGTGTCACAACCACTGTGTTTGCACTTTTGGACTTTATATGGCTCTTTGGGTCTAGCTGTTAATGTTGGGCATGTTCCTTAACATTACTCTCCCTCAGTGTTTGATTCACAAACCACTATGGTAACTAATTTGGCCCAACATTGGTCTTGAAGGGCTGACCTATGAGTAATTTCTTACAAGATGATCCATAGAGATTGGCAAACTGGCCCATACTCTTGTTGACGAGTTCACCCACAACAAGAGCTTTTCCTTTGAAGCTTAGATGGGCTAAGCGGGTCTTAATCTCTACGAGCTTGTTTAAGAATTTCATCCAAGGACTTCTCAACCACGGGATTTCCATGTGAAGTCCTTCAAGATATTGACAAGTTGAGCCGGATCTCTTATCTGCTAATCTTTACCATCTCACCCTTGTGTAAGATAATATTTAATCAGGGTAAGATAATATTTAATCAAGAATTTTAAAATTTGAAAGACAAGACATATCTCAAAAAGAGATTTAATTCAGGCTGGTTCATATCCCCTATTAACCCTGTGGTTGTGGGTTCGATATCCACAACTAGTGCCAAATGTTTGGGCAACTTTGTGAGCTCTTGTTGTTGAGGTCCAATCAATTGAAAAACCCAAAGATGTTTTCTTGACGAAAACACTCCAATATTAAAGCTAACAATATTTTATAATCTAAAGAAAAACTCTCAACAAAAATAATTGCAAAGAGGGAAATATTTCCTCAATGAAAACTCTAATACTCAAGTTAACTATACTTTATAATCTAAAGAGAGACTCTCAATAAGAATAATTACAGAGAGTGAAGTATAATGGAAGTAGTTGGGGGTATTTATAGATTTGGTTCCTAATAGTGACGCCATGCAGCATTATTCTATTGGCACATTTGTCATTAATCACGTGGATGTGTCACAACCACTGTCTTTGTGCTTTTA